GATAAGAAATTGTGTGGCTGTAGTTGGAGGATGTCCGGTCGAGACAAGAAATTTCATGAGCTCGAACGTTACACCAGCAGCTGCTCTTTGGTTCAAATTGCGTACTCGAATGAGAATGAAGAGGTTTATCAGAATTCTTTGGATCGTATCACGTTATCCCAGTGTTTTTTGTTTTTTTGTTTTTTTGTTTTTTTGTTTCTTTTTCTCCTTCTCCATATCTTGATAAAAGTAAAATCGGATCTGATACGGAGAATCTTATTTTTGTGTGCTTGTATTTGTTGTATTTGTTTTGCATTCTTGTAGTTTCATTTGTTTTGTTTGTAATTTTTGTTTTCATGTTCTTGTGTTTTCACGTTTTGTATTTTTCTATTTTTGTATGTTTTTTAGCCATGTATCATCACATGTATCGCATAGTCTTGTATCTCTATACGTTTTGTATTCTTGTATGCCTGTATAGTTGCATGATTTGTAATCTTGCATCTTTGCATTCTTGCTTTCCCACGTTTATCCGAAAATGTCCATTCACCGCCCTATGTTCTGGTAATGTTTTAAGCACTATCTTTTTTGCGTATTACCCCTTTCCATCCTGACGTCTGGCATACATACCCACCCGTTCCGTTACTTTATTTATAGATAGTTACGCCGTTCCTCGCCTGTGTTAGTTCTTGGTAAATATAGCACAGGAGAGACGCGAGCTTCATGAAGCAACTGTACAGTAGTTGTATAGGTACGTATGTAAAGGTGTGTGTGTGTGTGTGTGTGTGTGTGTGTGTGTGTGTGTGTGTGTGTGTGTGTGTGTGTGTGTTGTGTGTGTGTGGGGGGGGGGGGGGGTTGTGAGGAATGTTGAGAAAGGGGTGCTTATGTGTGCGTATATGTGTGCGTGTGTCTTGTTTGTTTCAGATCCCTCCTTCCCTTATCTCTCTCTCTCTCTATCTCTCTCTCTCTCTCTCTCTCTCCTCTCTCTCTCTCTCTCTCTCTCTCTCTCTCTCTCTCTCTCTCTCTCTCTCTCTCTCTCTCTCTCTCTCTCTCTCGTCTTCTTTCGCAAAATAATATTAATGATTTAAGACTCATCTCTCAAGTTATACATCTTACAATAAATATAGATTATTTACCATGTAATTAAGCAACATTGTCTTCAGCTCTCTGGTTTCTAGTCTCCAGATAAGAAATTGTGTGGCTGTAGTTGGAGGATGTCCGGTCGAGACAAGAAATTTCATGAGCTCGAACGTTACACCAGCAGCTGCTCTTTGGTTCAAATTGCGTACTCGAATGAGAATGAAGAGGTTTATCAGAATTCTTTGGATCGTATCACGTTATCCCAGTGTTTTTTGTTTTTTTTTTTGTTTTTTTGTTTCTTTTTCTCCTTCTCCATATCTTGATAAAAGTAAAATCGGATCTGATACGGAGAATCTTATTTTTGTGTTCTTGTATTTGTTGTATTTGTTTTGCATTCTTGTAGTTTCATTTGTTTTGTTTGTAATTTTTGTTTTCGTGTTCTTGTGTTTTCACGTTTTGCATTCTTGTATTTTGATGTTTTGTATTTTTTTTATTTTTTTATGTTTTTTAGCCATGTATCATCACATGTATCGCATAGTCTTGTATCTCTATACGTTTTGTATTCTTGTATGCCTGTATAGTTGCATGATTTGTAACCTTGCATCTTTGCATTCTTGCTTTCCCACGTTTATCCGAAAATGTCCATTCACCGCCCTATGTTCTGGTAATGTTTTAAGCACTATCTTTTTTGCGTATTACCCCTTTCCATCCTGACGTCTGGCATACATACCCACCCGTTCCGTTACTTTATTTATAGATAGTTACGCCGTTCCTCGCCTGTGTTAGTTCTTGGTAAATATAGCACAGGAGAGACGCGAGCTTCATGAAGCAACTGTACAGTAGTTGTATAGGTACGTATGTAAAGGTGTGTGTGTGTGTGTGTGTGTGTGTGTGTGTGTGTGTGTGTGTGTGTGTGTGTGTGTGTGTGTGTGTGTGTGTGTGTGTGTGTGTGTGTGTGTGTGTGTGTGTGTGTGTGTGTGTGTGTGTGTTGGGGGGTTATATGTGCGTGTGTCTGTGTGCATATAATTGTATGTGTGTGATTCACATGCTGACTTGTCATGCATGAGATCATACAAAAATATTTGTATAACCCATCACACAGTATATTTTAGTTATGATAATAGATCGTGACCTATATTAAGTTTGTTCTAGGGTGTTGGTGAACGGGGCAGTGTAATAAATGGGCTTAATAAACTAATGTGCATGGTATACGGTGTGTGTATGTGTGTGTGTGTGTGTGTGTGTGTGTGTGTGTGTGTGTGTGTGTGTGTGTGTGTGTGTGTGTGTGTGTGTGTGTGTGTGTGTGTAGGGGGGCATGCGTTTGTTCATGTGTATGTGTGTGAATGTGTTTATGTGCGTGTACGCATGTGCTTATATGTGGGGGGGATGTTTGTGTGTGTGTGTGTGTGTGTGTGTGTGTGTGTGTGTGTGTGTGTGTGCATGT